TGCGCAGTGTCCGTCTTTCTGTCACTGAGCAAACATCCCCGCCGTACATTCTCAAAAAGTGGGCACATCGAGCAACCATGGGTCTACATACCGGGCACATTAAAAAATGTTAGTGTGTCAATCCAGTATGGTATATTCTGAATTCTCCTTCTATCTTTCATACCCTCCCAGGTCCGGAAATCGACAGAGGTCTCCCAAAACATTTAGAAAACTTCAAAATATGCCTAAAAATCAGTCACGTCGAAAAATTAATTAAAACTGTAAATTATTGAATTATTTTAGATAGGTAAAATAGTGGTACTTGACCCGTAGTTTGCTAATTATGAATTAAAAAGTAAATGAAGTTGCATTTCCAGTAATGAAAGACGATCTCGAGGGATACAGTGTCACTTCGCCCACAACAGCTCAACAACCTTCAACAGTTTTTTTTAATCCAATTAGGACCCACTTCCCAGCTTCTACTTAGCTTGGAGCACCGGACGGAAAATGAAAAATACTCAAGTCAAGTTTATTAACAAAGTTCTTGAGGGTGGTTGACAGGAGTCGCTTTTTTAAGTGGAATAGGGGAATTTTATTTTGTCAGTCTCCCTCGGAACGTCTTTTTCAATTATCGAAGTAAAACAGGGAAATTTTTGGCAAAATTGGCTAAATAAAATATGTAGAATTATTCCATGCGTGTAATGTTTGGTCTAATGTACGTTTTGATTTTACATAAAACGTTAAATTGTTTCTATTTCGGTATCGTGCTATAATGTAGAATAAACATAGAAAGAAAGAAACAGATTAAAAATGAATTAACGTTTAACCAGAAGGTAATATATTTTCACAGTGGCATAAAAGCCACCTTTTCCTACGTGACTTTTATCCCTAGAATTTGGAAACAGTTGCAAAGGAACTTTGTTATAAATATACGGGGGAGAGTTAATGTAACCAATAATTAAGTTGAAAAACTTCGTTTTGGAAAAAATATAGGCGAGAAATGTTAGTGAAAAACAAAGAATGTTGATAAATAGAAAGAAGAAGAACAAATAAAGTCAAAACTTTAATGTATGTAATAATTTATTAAAAAAGGCACAAAATGAACGCAAGTAATGTAAGCATTGTAAAAAAAGTGTTTTCCCCCAGTAAATTGGAAGCCCATTTGTAAGTATGTCGGGTTAGAATGCAGGGTCGCTGGATTCGAACCCGGAACCTTTACCTTACAGTGATGAGCGCCTAAACCGTTGCGGGTACCGACGACCATAAAATTCTCTATTGATCTATTTTAAAGTCTTTCACTCAATTATATTCGAGATATTTCTCTTTCCTTGTTGCTTCTTCTTCCCAAAACATTTTCCAATAAAGATCCAGTTTTTCATGAAATCATTACTTTCATGCCAATTTTATTACCTCAATGGAAGAAGTATTAAAATGCTATTCGTTTTTGTACACAATCTTTGGCACATAATTGAACATAATAATAAACAAAACGTTTATAAAATTAAATTAAGTATTCCAAACATCCACCTTCATGAAAAATAACAAGCCTGGCATATTTTCTGCTTTCATTGGGTTCATCCTACATCTATCATTCCATAAGAACACAGGATTGCTAAATATTTTCTATGAAGTCGCTTTTAGTGATGACAGGTACGAAATAGACTTCTAATAATAGACATGAATTAAATAGTAATAATTAAGTGTGTAGAGATTAGTGACCGTTAATCGATAGTTATTCAGATATCGTGAGATGCGGTCTGGTGTGATGTAGGTTTCAGAAAAACATTTTCTTTATCGTACCAACGTTTCGATCTTTTATTGAGATCATCTTCAGGGCCTGGGATTTACAAACAATGTTTACATTTAACAATTACATTGAGGATGTGGAAAGTGAATTTATACAATGCAAAATATATTTTATATTCAACCAAAGTATTTCTACTCACTCAAAGTGTTTGTCTACTGTGTAATTGTGCCATCCTTGCGTGTCGTGTTGAGAGTGCCAGTGAGATTTTGCTGTTTTATGTTTATATATGTTTGGTGTTGAAGGGGTGGGGAAGGAAGTCGGTATATAAAAGACAATTTTGTGTAAGGCGTCGGCTTCTTTGAAGTGAAATAAGCCGACAAAGAGGAACAATGTGTTGGTAATAGTTCGGCCAGATTGTCCTTTCAGGATTATATAGAAAGGGGATAATTAGGAAAAGGAAAGCTAAATTGTTGGAAAATTAGACTATGTGAAATGTATTTGATGTGTAGAATGTAATCTAAAGATATATGTATGTTATCTATATTGTATTTGGTTAATGATATTGGCGTAGCTGCGACTGAGTTTACATGTATCTGTTCTGTAATTGATGCTGTGTTTATCTCCGTTGATATAAACCAATTCTAAGAAATTATGTTTATATTTGTTTTTTTCTGTATGTAATATTTTTGGATTTTTGAAGTCAAAATTGTGTTGGTGTTCAAAGTGCTGTAGGATTTTGCTTGGGTTTTTTGCAATGATAGATATAGTTATTCAGATATCGTGAGATGCGGTCGGGAGTGATGTAGGTTTCAGAAAAACATTTTCTTTATCGTGCCAACGTTTCGATCTTTTATTGAGATCATCTTCAGGGCCTGGGATTTACAAACAATGTTTACATTTAACAAATACATTTAGGATGTGGAAAAGTGAATTTATACAATGCAAAATATATTTTATATTCAAACAAAGTATTTCTACTCACTCAAAGTGTTTGTCTTCTGTGTAATTGTGCCATCCTTGCGTGTCGTGTTGAGAGTGCCAGTGAGATTTTGCTGTTTTATGTTTATATATGTTTGGTTTTGAAGGGGTGGGGAAGGAAGTCGGTATATAAAAGACAATTTTGTGTAAGGCGTCGGCTTCTTTGAAGTGAAAAAAGCCGACAAAGGGGAACAATGTGTTGGTAATAGTTCGGCCAGATTATCCTTTCAGGATTATATAGAAAGGGGATAAATAGGAAAAGGAAAGCTAAATTGTTGGAAAATTAGACTATGTGAAAAGTATTTGATGTGTGGAATGTAATGTAATGATATATGTATGTTATCTATATTGTATTTGATTAATGATATTGGCGTAGCTGCGACTGAGTTTACATGTATCTGTTCTGTAATTGATGCTGTGTTTATCTCTGTTGATATAAACCATTTCTAAGAAATTACGTTTATATTTGTTTTGTTCTGTATGTAATATTTTTGGATTTTTGAAGTCAAAATTGTGTTGGTGTTCAAAGTGGTGGGTAGCGAGTGCTGTAGGATTTTGCTTGGGTTTTTTGCAATCATAGATATGTTGCTTTACTCTCTTGTCCAGATATTGGGATGTAAGACCGATATAAGTTGCCGGATAGTTTAAACAGTTGATCTTGTAGATTACGTCAGATTTATTTGTTATTGGTGTGGGATCTTTAACTTTGGAAAAAAGTGTTTGGATTGTTTTGTAATTTTTGAAAGCTATTTTGAAGTTATCGGACGAGAAAAATGTGTTTAATTTGTGTGATAGGCCTTGAATAAATGGTATGGAAATGTATGCTTGTTTGTTGTATTTGATATGTTTAATGTAGTATTATTAGTAATAATGGAATGTGTTAGTGTTGTGTTGTAGCTGTTGATTATTCTGTTAATTATGTGCTTAGGGTAGAGATTGTTATGGAGGATCTGTTTGTATATCTTTATGTTCTTGTGGTGAAATGATTCATGGCTTAGGGTAATCATTCTGTGAAGTAACTCTTTGGCCGTGTTTATTATTGTATGAAGAGGATGGTGAGATGTAAATTTGAGGTAGCGATCTGTGTTTCTTGGTTTTTGATACCAATCTGTGGTTAATGTGCCATCTGGTTGTTTTATTACAAGTGTATCTAAAATGGTATTTTTTTGTTGTTTTCGATTTCATGTGTAAATGGTAGGCGTGGGTGAAATCTATTAAGTGTATCTAATGTAGTTTGAATTTGATCTGTAGGAACTGCTGTCAATATTTCATCTACGTATTTAGTGAGGAAGGGTAATGTGAAAGGAAGTTGCGGTATGACTGTATTTAGTAGATGTGTCATGATTATGTCTGCCAGTATCGGACCTAGGTTGCTACCCATGGCTATACCAAACAGTTGTTTGTAAAAGTGATTGTCGTATGTAAAATATCCGTTAAAACAGCAGTGTCAGATCATTGTTACGAACGTGTTCTTTGATAGTGTTGTGTGTGGTGTTATGTTGGGCCATTTACCTTTGATAATGTTCAGTGTTGTGTCTATTGGGATGTTGGTAAACAATGATGAGACATCTAGGGATATGAGAGAGTAGTGTGAGGAGATGTGGATATTATTAATTTTATTGATGAAATGAAATCAATCATTTACATTATATGTGTTATCTGTGATGTTGAGTATGTTGGTTAGGTATTTTGTCATGTTATATGTGGGTGAGTTTACAAATGAAATTATGGCTCTTAGAGGGTGTTCAGGTTTGTATGTTTTTACAGATCCATATAGTTTCGGAGGTGTTGGTGAGTTGTTTTGACGTGATTTGTAGGTGTATGTGTCAATTTCTTTTCGTTTCAGTGTTTCTTGGAGAAGTTTGTTTGTCTGTTTGATGAGAGAAGGAGTAGGGTCTGATTTGAGTATGGTTTATGTGTTTGTGTCTGTGATAATTTTGTCAATTTTTTCTTTGTACTCTTTCTTGCTGATTGCAACTGTTTGTTTGGTCTTATCAGCCGAAAGAATGAATACGTCAAGATCATTTTTGAGAAAATGTTTGGTTTTGGTTTTGATTGTTGGGATAGGTTGGGTTGATTTGTAGTGAGGTGTTGAAAGTGATTGGTTATTGTGTTAATGCATTTTGAGCGTATAATGTCTTTTTCTTCTTCTATTTTTGTGGATTTTTGAACGTTGGCACGATAAAGAAAATGTTTTTCTGAAGCCTACATCACACCCGACCGCATCTCACGATATCTGAGTAATAATTAATATGAAAACCAAAATATAAAAATAAAAAAGGTTGGAGAAAAAGCGTTTGTTATTTACTTTTTAGATCTGTAATTGTTCATTTTTGTTACAAGTTAATATAATGTATTAGAAATAGATTTTGCCTTGAATTTCAATGTTCATAGTATGATCCTGGGCCAAGTATGAATAAATCTTCTATGTTATGTGTGATACTGAGGCTTGTCGAATTCATCATTGGACATGGTTTACCTCGATCGCTCTAAAACAATATAAATAATACATCTGTGAAATGATAATGACAATTTCTAATAGAATAATATACAACAAGGTTAACATACCTAAAGGTCTATGTGCTGGACAATAGTTGTTTCTTAAATCACACAGCTCGATCAAATATGGAGATCATGTTAAAAGTTTATAAATTCCATAAATTGCAGCTGCCCCTATGACTATTGAAAGCATTTTTTCTTTGGAATTTCAGACTTAGAGAACGGACAAGGATTATATACTAACTCTTATCATATTTGTAACCAAATATATACTCGTCTGTATGTTTAAGGAAATCAAATTTTTTCTGATAACTAAAAATATAATTGAAATAAAATATCGGTGATTCATTTCGGCAGTCAACCAAAAATATTTTTTTCTTCAACAAGGGAAATAAATCGAATATTTAAGTAGTGTGGGTGACTTGAGAGAGGGTTTGATGATATGAAATATTATTTTTTATTAGGCAAATGTATAAAAATGTAAATAGATTGTGAAAAATAGAAAAAGCAGAATCATGTTATTGTTTATGAATAATACGATCAAATATTCAGTATGAATATCAAAAGCACCGACCGACAAATAATGAATTATGTTAAACTACATATTTCATTTTGGCCTAATACACATTCCTTTTGAAACAAAATAAGAGAAAAATATCTAGTATTACAGAAAATAAATAATTAACCTTAATTTACGTTCATGATATAGAGTAAAATTGACAACGAAATAAATTTTAAAATCTTTCAATTAATTAAGGTTTTTAGTTGAGATAAAATGTCAGTGTTAAGAGCGGGATTTGAACCCACGATCTTCGGCTAGGTACGCCGCTGCTCTCCCACTTGAGCGATCGTACCTATTGAGATGAGAAGTTAGTGTCCGAGTGGATCGAGGTCACGATGGCTCAAGTGGTAGAGCAGCGGCGTACCTAGCCAAAGATCGTGGGTTCGAATTCCGCTCGTGACACTGTCTTTTTTTATCTCAACTAAAACCTTAATTAATTGAAAGACATTAATTGGTCAAGCGGACCACGAAAACTAGTGAATATAATATTTTATATAATCAGTAGTTTATATAAAACTGCTGATTTTATCGTTCAAAACATATTGTGCTTCGAAAAAGACTTTTTATCGTCGATAAAACTGGACAAGTAATTGTAGAAACGAAAAATAACTCAATCCTCGCTTCACGGTTGAACACTGTATTGTGTTCATTTAAAATTGTTTAATTTTCACCGATTCAGACAATCCAGTAATTGTTCGAAGGATGTTTTTTTAATTTATGCTGTTATATAATCCATTATTCGAAGGAATTTTACCCATATCTGCTTTGACATGAAAGGAACAATCTAACCTACCAATTTAAAGAAGTTTAAGTTGCCACATTCGGCTTTTTTAAGATTTCCTAAGTTGAAAAATAAGAAAGAGGACTGAGAATGGCTAATTTTTATGTTTGAAGTACGATTTATATTTCCATAACACAATTACTTCAAAAGTATAATTTTTCAGGAAAGTAAGCTGAAATCTGAATTAAATTTTATGTTTCTGTTTTCCCCATCCTACATGTATTTGTTAAATGTAAACAATGTTTGTAAATCCCAGGCCGTGCAGATGATATCAATAAAGATCGAAACGTTGGCACGATAAAGAAAATGTTTTGCTGAAACCTACATCATACCAGACCGCATCTCACGATTTCTGAATAATTATCGATTAACGGTCACTAATAACCACGCATTTCATGTAAACATGGTAAAATTCTAGCAATATAGCGGTATTTTCCGGTATCTGGGAAAATACAAAACATGGGAGAATTCAACGTTGATCCCATTGGAAAATTTGCAATAACCCATATATGTTTAGCGGTCGTAATTGGTCTATTTAATTATTTCAATCAGTTTTATTCGTTTATCTAAAGTCTTGGGTGTGATGAGGAGGGTTCGAACCCACGACCTTCGGCTTTCAACCCTACCAGAAGTACCTGGGTTCGAATCCCGCCCGTGACTCTAATATTTTCATCTCAACTAAGACTTTAGAAAAAAGTATAATCACTTGAAATATGCAATAACGATGAAGAAACTACCAGCCCTGTCTTCATCAAATGGGGAGCAACCCCTCGATAGACATACCATGAGTAAACAAAAAGAAGACCCGAGAAAAACAATTTCAGAAAAAACAACTTTTACTTCTTAATAGAAGAATTTATTAAACTGGACTAAATTAATGAATTTGAATTACTTCAATAAGTAAAAGCGTGCAGTGCATAGAAAATACTTTCCGTTAATCACTAGTATCCTGCACCTCCTCATCATTGTCATCATGCCTGTGCCTATCTCAATTATAAAAGCCTATTTAAATATATTCTTTATAACTGCTATAGTTTTACGTACAAGATGTCGTTAAACTTAGTTAATTAACTTAGAAATTAAAACGATTTACACGGTTAGGTTGAAAGTTTAACTGGCATGTAAATTGTTGTTAAAAAGAACTGGAGTAAATACCAAAAGGGGAAAGTTGATTTAGTTTCAGTCAACGATTTTGACAAACCTATCAGCCAAATCTCGCTAATTGCCCCAGTTCAGATTCACTTGGCCGAACTATAATTCGGTCCAGAGTTGATCAACTCGTAGTTTCACTGCAGATCGAGAAGTTTGCACTAGTTTCCGATGAGTGTCCTACTCCAGCAATCGGCAATTTCCCGGTCTTTCCTACACTCAACACTCTAGTCAATTTAATTCAAATCAACTAAATGGTACAACTTTCAATTTAGAACTTTCCACTCCAATTACGCTATATGTTTTTTATTGGTGTAGCAAAAGGGACTTTAAAAACGGAATAACCATTGAAAATTTGTTTGATGCTTTTTCGTCCGTTTTACAAAAAGTTTCCAAACGTCAAACGTGTAAACACGTTTATACAAACACTCATAAAGATTCTCAATGTTATATATTATCCCGTGTGAGTTTTCGTTGAAGACAGATCTTTAATTTTTACGATGTCTATTATATTGAAAAAAATTACAAGTTCGAAAGGTAATTTTCCTCCTGGCATCTTCTGGTGGTATTAGAATTTTAATATTTTGGATCATTAAGGCAACCTGATGATCAACATTTTTTAACGTAATGCCTTATTTTCACACATTTTCAAAGTCCTTCCCTTTCTGCAAAAAAATATACCAGAAATTAAAAAAAAATCATCGATACGTTGATAGATATTGAAGTTTTCCTCCTTTTTTTTAACTTTAACCTTTTACTTATAATGGAACCATTATAAGTTAAATTTGTCCTCAAACTGATTGTTGTTCTTCTTTAAAGGTAAGTTTATATTTCAATTTTCTTATTTTTTACTTGTTACATGATACATTAACATTATTGAGTTTTGTGACGTGATTGGTGACCGTTAATCGATAATTATTCAGAAACCGTGAGATGCGGTCTGGTACCAGAATGGAGGTGGACTTTTCCAAGGGTACACCTTACCATGTAAGGTTTTTATTCACCGGTCATTTTATTCAGAGGTCCGTTGTAACAAAAGAGGGTTTTTCGACCCAGTTTTACGCGGAGAGCCCCGATGCCCTGCGTAGCTGGTCTGAGGGGCCGTGCAGGCTCGGCGGGTGTCAGCATCAATTAACGAATATGGCTATATGCACACTAATACAAGGAAAAAAACATGTTTTTAGGTTTTGAGGGAATATTTCTAAGGGAACACATACTTCTAAAAGCAACTATAAAACCTTCTACTTTAAGAATTTTACCTATTTTTTCTTATAGATCACCAATGTATGGTAAGCAACAGAAACCTCAAGATTTATTTTTAGTTGGGTAGCTCAGTCCGATTGCTGCTTCTTTTCAAGTTAATTTTTTTATTCTTTTTACCAGCAACCAATCGGTAAATATTGCTTGATATCAATTGTTTTAGCAACAATTTACGGTTTTAATCTTTTCACTATTAAAATTCATATCGAGAGACCTGTTTGTAACTCCTTCAGCCTGATGATCGTAGAATGTTTGAAATCCGTATCGTTTCTTCACAATAAATCTGAGAAGAACCACCATTTACAAAAAGTAACTACATAGAATTTCTGCTATATTTATTCTAATATTATTTTTGATATAAAAATTATGACAACCTCCTACTTTTCTTGTTGACAGCGTATTATGAGATTTATTTTTTTAAATGGCTTTACATTTATACTATATCTTGTTTATTATAAAGCCAGAGATGTCGGAGACAGAGGGCGAGAGAGAGAGAGAGATAGATGGATGGGTAGATAAATAAATCGGTAGATAGATAGATAGATGGATATATATATATATATATATATATATACAGGGTGAATTGCTACTCGTGCTACAAACTTCTCCAGTAGATTCTTCACCCTAAAATGAACAAAAAAGTTNTGGGACCATGGACAATATGAACTTTTTTGTTCATTTTAGGGTGAAGAATCTACTGGAGAAGTTTGTAGCACGAGTAGCAATTCACCCTGTATATATATATATAGTGAGAGAGAGAGAGAGAGAGAGAGAGAGAGAGAGAGAGAGAGAGAGAGTGTGCGAGAGAGTATTAGTCTTTAATGTTCGACCAGAATTTCCTACAGACTTGCTTCACCATTGCTGGAAATCTGGAAATAAAAAGATCATTGGTTCCAAAGATTTTTTATTTTTCAGTAAGCTCAATATTGTGAAATATTATTTATCACTATTTTCCCCACAAATATTGAAACTATTACTCGTCTTAAAATTAGTAAATGGGCTTTGTCGTTATAGGTAAAATTCTATATAATTACACAAAAGAAGGAAGTTTTTAATTGCAAATTAAAGTAACTAAACAGTGGTGCTATGTTTATTTTGAATAATGTTATTACAATTAATATTACTAATGATAATTCCAACTACACATGTTTAACAAATTTGTTTTGCTTATAATTTTAATAGTTTACACATGTCTACCTTGTGGAACGCTAGTGCGAATTGAAATTTGAGATAAACCGCAGACACGTTAGCAACTTGGCCGCTGTATATCTTCGTAATAAATTTGACAACGAAATCATAAATAAAGCCAACCTCCTTATGTTCAAACTCGATCATTTCGACGTTGAATTGTCCAAGATCGGTCACTTCGACGTTGTCCACTTTTGTTTTACAACCTGATTTAGTTTTCTGGACGGTGAAACGCATGTAGAAATTGTTCTCGCCAACACTGACGTCAATTTTACCATTTATAT